GAAGATGAGATGTTTGGATGGCATCACCGACTCGATGGACATGAGTTTGAGTAAACTCCGGGAGTTGGTGATGGACAGGGAGGCCTGGTGTGCTGCAGTCCATGGAGTCACAAAGAGTTGGACATGACTGAGTGACTGAACTAAACTGGAGGTGTTTTGCAACTATTATTACATAGTTTCATTAAGGAAGTGAAGTTAAAGTTACTCAGTCATGTCCGACTCCTTGCAACCCCATAGACAATACAGTCCATGGAATTCTCCAGGCCAGAATACCGGGTGGGTAGCCTTTCCCTTCTCCAGGGGATCTTCCTAGCCCAGAGATCAAACCCAGGTCTCTTGCATTGCAGGTGGATTCTTTACCAGCAGAGCCACAAGGGAAGCCCAGTTTCATTAACAGCATTCCTTATTTCCACCCTAAATCCTTCCTAAATATGTAGCTGCTATGAGTGACATTTTTATATGTTAGCTGTTTGTATGTGAGCAACAAAGAAATGGGTGTGGGAAGTTGGAAACAATTTTTTAAATGCCCTTTATCATAATCATCAGAATTTTCTCACTAAACGGACCTTTTAGGAGTCACTCTAAACTGGGGATGTTCTGGACAAAAGAACTCTGTAGAAGAGTGACATGCACGATAATTTTAGATTCTACTCACATCACCACATCAAGGCAGTGATACTCTAGAATGTTTTGTAAATACATTACAGGTGGCCTCCCTGTTAGTCTCCATAGGACCCAAGTAACAACCTGAGGCTATTACTGTTCTTAGAGCTTATTTCTTCTTAAGTCATCTTTCTAGAGTTAACCTTGAAGAATGAGAAATGAACCAACATTTTGCTGCTCAGATCTTGCCTGAAAAGAGAAAAGCTGATAATTTTTCCAATCAGCATACACATTGTGAATACAAGAATTATATAACCACATAGTTACAAATAACTGAAAAAAAGTGTTTAAAATCCTTTAAAAATTATGCAGTCAAGAAAAAGAAGAGGCAACAATCATTGTGTACAGCTATTTCTGTTACTGGCCCAACTTTAGACGCTTTTAATAGCTTTTAAAAGGATGAAGCAACTTAGCACACAATAGCATTTAGAGATTGCTACATATTTTTATACACACTGGAAGTGTTAGCTGCTCAATCATGTCCAACTCTGTGACCCCATGGATTGTAGCCTGCCAGGCTCCTCTATCCATGGGATTCTCCAGGCAAGAAAACTGCAGTGGTTTGCCATCCCCTTCTCCAGGGGATGTTTCCAACCCAGGGATCAAACCCATGTCTCTTACGTCTCCTGCACTGGCAGACAGGTTCCTTATACTAGCGCCACCTGGGAAGCCCCTGATACACACACCACCATGTGTAAAATAGATAGCGAGTGGAAGGTGCTGTATAGAAGAGGCAGCTCAGCTCAGGACTCTGATGACCTACAGGAATGGGAGGGGGGCTCAACAGGGAGAGGATATACGAATGTTAGTTGACTCTTTGCGACCCCAAGGACTGTAGCCCGCCAGGCTCCTCTGTCCATAGAATTCTCCAGGCAAAATACTGGTGTGCACAGCCATTCTCTTCTCGAGGGGATCTTCCCAACCCAGGGATTGAACCTGTGTCTCCTGCATTGTGGGCAGATTCTTCACCGTCTGAGTCAGGAGGAAAGACCAGCTATCTATACATACAGATACATATAGCTGATCCACTCTGTTGTGCAGCAGAAACTAACACAAATTTGTAAAGCAATTATATTCCAATAAAAAAGGTTACTATATGTTTAAACATTACTGAAGGAATGAATAAATGCCTTTGTATTTTCTCTGCAAGTCAAATCTAAGCATATCATAACCTAGAGCTTAGATTACACTGTAAACTGACTTTCTATTTCCTCTTCTACTTTCATTTGAAATAGGTCTTTTCCAGCCACATGTTGCCCTTTTCATTGTTCTATGGTGATACTAGATACTTTCTGCTAAGGCAGTATACCCTTCCAATAACTTCCCTATACTATGTCTTCCCCAAAAGTATCATTTTTTTTTCATTACAATCTATTATGTTATTGGATAGGTACTGTGGTGAAGTCATTCAGAGGGATATCTGTCCTCCATTTTCCATATATACACCACTTCCTTGATAATTTCTACACACATTAACTGGATAGCTTTCAAAAAGAATAAAGCATGTGATGAAGTGCTACTTATTTAACACTCATTATGTATACAGTATATGGGGTCTACAAAACAAATACATAAAATAAAGACAGCTTTGTCCTTCCTTTATACCTTTATAAGGGAAGACACACTTACTTTAAAAGCTATAATGACTGGCCAAATGTAAAGAATGTCTTAAGAGAAGTGTCAATAACATGCTATGGGAATTCAGGGGAGAAAAAGTTTACCTAAGATTAGGGAAATCTATGAACTTAGTACTGAAAAATGATGATTCTGATGAACCTTCAGGGAGAGGAGGGGATAACATAAGAAAGAAAAGACAAAAAACACCAGGATGAATGAAAATGAGTAGATGTCGGAGTTTGGCTGGAATATGAGAAAGGGAGGGGCGGCTTGAGAAGGTTAAGTCTCCAAGAGGCCTGAACACCAGGCTTAAACTCTAACTCTGTTCACTAAGCAATAGAGCCTTCCTCAGGGTGATGACAAAGTCAGGAAGAGCAAGCAAAGCTTAGTTTCTTCTGTCTTGTTTGTTTTGGAGGACTGGATAGGTGGGAAGGGGGGAAATTCCATATTTACTTCAGGCATCAAAAATCAGCACATTTTACCGGGAGTGGAAGGAAGGCAGCACTCTGGATGAGTGTGGAGTGAGCCGTCAGGACAGCAGGGGGCGATTCAGTCATTTCCGAATAACCAAGACTCTTAAGTGGGGGGTTAAGTGAGACTTCCCGGAGTTCGGTTCTTCAGAGCCACATAATGAACGGCCTCTATTTACAACCAATGCCTACGGTTGCCATGAAATCCTCTTTTTATCTCTAAAGACTGCTAAGTGTTTCCAGTATATAATAGTTCAGGAATTAAACCTTTGTTTCCTAGAGCTAGGCATCCCGCTCGGCAGGATGAGGGGATTTTGGAATTTTTTAAAATTAATTTACTTACTTTAATTGGAGGCTAATTACTTTACATATTGTGGTGGTTTTGGCCATACACTGACATGAATCAGCCACGGGTGTACGTGTCCCCACTGCGCCCATTTCTAACCTCTGTTCAGAACACCCTCAGTACTAGGATTCCAACTGCTGGTGCTATGAGGCCCCCTAGTGCTCATAATGCAAACAGAGCCTTCAGAAACACCTTCAAATTAACTGTAGAATCAATCAGCAGACCATTAAAACAATATCACTTTGAGGAAACAAAATGATACTGATGAAATATAAAAGATTCTGTTTTAATGAATTCATCTTGAATTATGATGCGGCAACTTTCAGAACACAGGCCTAGAAAAGTCTAAGCAATATTTGATAATAAAACTATTTTTCAAAATTATGATCTACATTATTATCATTATATTTCACTTTTGATTTCCTGACTTAGTTAAACACTATTGTATCATCTATAACACTCAAAATATTAAAATTCTTAGAGAATAACACATTTTGATTAAGTCTTTTGTAAGGAGAGTTTACCACTCACATAATTTTTAGAAATAGATTTAAAAAGTGAGATTTTCCTCAAAAGCTGGTTTATCATATGAAATATCATAATATTTAGTCTGTCTCATTATAACAACTGTCATATTTATAGTAACATTCTTCAATGGCTTTAACTGAGGAGACACCCTGGTGTTTAGCAGGCAGCTGAGGAACGTGTTACAAATTATTTCACAGTAATTTGAGTGCTCAAGTGTGCAAATACTATACCTTTATTTATTATGGGAACATTATTATTATATTTGGATCCTTGATCAGTTATTGTCTTCTACCTTACAACATGTAGACACATCTTATCTTCTAAAAGAGAATTTTCCTTGAATATATATGTCTTAATGAGTATTGCTTTTTATATCACTCATTAAATAATTTAAGGTAATTTTGTATACCAAATGAAGCTGCTCTTGATATCTCCAAAAGTAGCAGAAAATCACTGCCTTGGTTAGGTTAAAGCCCTTTCTTTAGTTCAAAAACATTTATCTGAGACTCTGACTTCTTCAAACCAAATGTACTTTTAGACTTATTCTAAAGTATACCATAAATCTGTCTAGAATCCATGAAAATATGAGGATAAGTGAATATATGTTTGCTTCTGGCTTGGCTGATAAACTACCTCTCTCTCTCTTTTTGTATTACTGTGGGTTTATATTTTCTATTAATTTTTTTAAAAATTTGGCATCTAAAAAATGAAACTACAATAAACTTTTAGCACTAAATGTATGTTCACAAATCATACACATTTACATTGACAATTGCTCCAGAGTATAAATTTGCATTAAAACAACTCATCAGATTCTATAAATACCCAATAACTATGATCGGGAATTGCATATATAAGATAACTTCAAAGTCCCACACACTCAGGCTAATTTTCATGGTGATTTTTCAGTCGCTATTATTAATTGCCACGCTGGTTTCTGACATGGGGGAAAATTACTAAATTTCAAGCATAACCTTATGCTCTGAGACAACAGTGCCAACATGTTTCAGAATCCTGTGGGTTGACACCTCAGCACTACATATTCAGAGGAGAGAATTCAAAGACTATGATAGACTTGCATTCAACCTTCCTACGAACAATGGATAATGCATATAACCTCTATGACCCTCAGTTTTCCCATGTGAAATCAGAGATGATATTCCTTATCTTTTAGAGTGTTAGATTCTTTATGAGGAGAAGTATGTGAGAACCACAACACATAGTAGATGTCCAGAAAGTAGCAGTGATTGTTCTAATCAGCCTCGACCACAGTTTCAACACAGATGAAGGCCACCATGAGTCATGATATTGCTGCAACAATATTTATTTAAAGAGACTCTGAATAATGCATTATATTTAATTTCAGGTCAACTTACCAAGACAGGAGTACAAACCCTGACTTATCCAAGCTAATATGGCAAGAGTTATAAGATCGCCAAAACTAGCAGCAATGGGTGTAGCAACATTATCAGGGTTTATACCAGTCTTCTTTGAACCAACGATAACCCCAACCATTATTATTCCTAGGAAAAAAAAAAAGTTCATTACTTTTTGGGCTATGGTTTAAAGAAAATCCATTCCCCTAAATAATGAAGTATATACACTAGACAAACAGCACATCAGTTCCCAGTAGGCTGCTTAGGTAAGCTGACTAAAGCAAACAAAACATTTTATTTGAATGTTTTGGTAAAGTGTCTTTCAACAAATTCCAAGCAGGGATCACAAAAGATGTGAGAAGTTCAGTGTTGCATTTAGAGACCTGAAAGGCTACTCTAAAATAACACTAAAGTTTCCAATTTAGTAACGTGCATGTCTTGGATGTAATGTATTCATGTGTACAAAGCCAAAGATTTTATTTTAACCCTCGAATAAAGTATGAAAATGTCAAAGAAAGGTGAACCATATTTACACATATAGCAACTGAAAAGGAGGCCAACAAAACCAGATTTGTTTACACAGTGGTAGCCAGAACGCTGGCCCCATTTTTTATTAAAAAGTGTTGAAGTATTAGGAAGAGAAGAGTAATTAAATTTTGAACACTGGAGGTCAGAATACAAGAAGCAGTCTTTGTAAAGGGTATTCTTTAAGCCCAAAGGTTCTGACTATAAACTTACAACAACAGAAGATGAAAATGCGACTGGGTTCTTATACATTTAAATCCTCATATTCTTGAATATAGAAATGGGAGGAAAATGGTAACATCATATCCATACCATACTGGACAGATTTTCTCATGCCAACATGTTAAGAGGATGCAGTACAGAGAAGATTTAAGATTAGTTCATTTACATGCTAAGCATAAATTAAATCCTTGCTTAAGGTCACACAGCTTGTAACAGTGTTTTTCCTACTACTTGTAAGGCCAAAATTATTAAAAGTATACATTTTGTCTGGGTTCAATGCCTCGGATCTTATATTCTGGAGGCTTTTTCAATCTATGGACTTACCTTTCCCGTAATATCATTATAAACAGAAAAACAAAACATAGCGGGAAAACCATTTAAATGTATATTATAATAATCATTCAAGACGTGATCATATAAAAATTTTTTTCAAAATTAGTACATTTAAAGATCAAGGTGGAAAGTTTTCCTATGACAGAATGCTATCTATAATTTTTCAGCTGAAAACAAGTTATTTTGTCATCATGGACCAGTGAAAAGAGTTGGGAGACAAGAAACAGGTTTTAATTCTGATTTTTCTGTTAATAAGCTGATGAAATGGTACAAGCCACCTTACCTAAGTCAGTTTTCTCACCTACAAAACGTGGTTCAATAGCATCTGCTCTACATATATAAAGGCCAAGTTACTATAAAAGTGGAACACACATTATTCAAAATAAAAGTGTAGACATATATTTTTTAAATCTGAATTTTAAAGTTTTAGAAATTTCAAGCAATATAGACAGTCGTTAGTCTGAAATTTTTTAAACAATTCTTTCTAAATGAAACTAGAGAGAAAACAGAAGCAAATGAGACTAAAGTAATAGTATTAATGCTTTAACACTTTTTCTTACCAGAAATCAATTTTCCAATAGCATAACTTCACTCTGCTTTACCCGTATTAACATCAGTCAATTCCAGTAATTCTATATAAAGATACTACCCTTGGTATAATTTGAGTACTAAAACAAAATGCTTGAAAATATTTTTGTAGTCAGATCTTAATTTTAATAAGAGCCTCTAAATTATTAGAAAAGAAAGAAAGTGAAGTCGCTCAGTTGTGTCCAACTCTCTAAACCCCATGGACTGTAGCCTGCCAGGCTTCTTCACCCACAGGATTATCTAGGCAAGAATACTGGAGTGGGTTGCCATTTCCTTCTCCAGGGGAGTCTTCCCAACCCAGGGGTTGAACCCAGGTCTCCTGCATTGCAGGCAGACTCTTTACGGTCTGAGCCACCAAGTTATCAGAATCTAGCCCCAAAAGTTACCTTCATGATATGAGATCACCTGATATGAGAATATTCTATTTTTAATCTTGCTGGTGATATAAAATGAGAAGATGACACTTATAAATAAAAATTAACAAGTCTTTATGATTATGATTCCATAATAAGCTAGTTTTCTAGTGTGAAGTTCATATAAATAAATCAATATAAAAATGGTATCCCAACTAAAAAACCTTCTGGCTCTTTAACATTCTATAGCTAACAATATGCTATGTTAGGCATATGGTTATACTTCTACTGCCACAGAAACAGTAAAGGAATTTTTTTTGAAATCTGAAACTTCAAAAAATTTTAACAGAGGGACAGCTTTTGAAATCTAGAATTCCTGGAATACTTGTTACTCAAATGACAAGCTAGGCAAATCTTCTGCATGATTTCCAGAAAGGAGTTTCTCAATTAATTTAACTTACAGAGACAAATAAAATTTCTAGGTTATTTTCTGATCTTGTTTGGGAGCTGTACCAGGGGACCTAAAGCCAGGACATAACACCTCAGAAAGCTTGCTCTGTATGCTAAGGTTTACATGTGATACATATAAATATATCTGAAATAAACTATTTGAAAAGTTGTAGATAACTTTTCTCTGTTTTTTTTTTTAAATAATGAAAAATATCAGTTAAGTAAAAATGGCTAACGTGGAAAATGAATAATTAGAAAGTAGAGATTGCAGAGTAGACACTGACAAATTTACTTACCCTGCAGGAGTGATGCAATGAAGGCAGTTGCTACGCTGCTAGAGCACAAAAGTATGGAATGATCAAGATAGTATTTTCCCTCTGGAATCCAGCCCAATATAATTGCTGCCACAGCTGCTAGGAAGCCAACTACTGTTGCTTGAACCTTAAAAAAATATTTAATAAAATCCAACTGAATTATTCATTGAGAAAACACATGTTTTTATTTGATGATGTCCACAGGCATATAAGGAGTCAAAAGAAAGTATTATATATGGTAACTGAGCTGCCTTACCTTTTGAAGAAGCTACTACATTTTAGTTTTACTATTCCCTAAGATAGTGGGTTCTCAAAGTGCCCTGATCTGGTAGCAGTAGGTATGGAATGGGGTTTAGGAATGTATTTTTAACAAGCATCCTAAGTGACTCTGGTGGTGAAATCCATAGATCATCTAAGAAAATACCAACCTTAAGACTGAAAAGTACCCAATCCATGTAGCTTAAGTCTGACTCTTGAGGCAATATTGGCAGGAGACTGAATTCTATAATCAAATGATAAGGATTTCATTCCTAGCTATACCACTTAATCTTGTGGTAAATTATTCAACAAGCATTAATTTAGGATCTACTATATACTTGGTGTTGGGCTACACAGCAGTCAAAACAAATTCATTCCCGGCTCTCACAGAGCTCCTGGTCAACGGGAGAGGCAGACATTAAAAAATAACTTCACAAATAGCTATAAAAACTTTAGCTCCTAATCTGAAAAATGGTAATATTGAACATAGAAGGGTTATTTTTGTATTTAAATGAATTACATGAAGATATAAAGTACTTTCCACAATGGTAACACAAAGCAACCCTGAAAAAAAAAAGCAACTAAAAAAAGTCACACTGACTGTGAACTCTTAGAATCACATTAGACGAATGCTAGAACCAAAAGAAACCCTAAAGGCACCTCTAGTTCACTTATTCTTAATTGTGTTTGTTTCATGGACTCCTTTGACAATCTGGTGAAAGTTTTATAGATACTTCTCTCCATGAAAACACAAATGCAGTAAAAATTTTGAGCAGAATTTCTGTGTGCTCAGAGACTCTCTGAAGTTAATCCACAAACTGAAATCCAGGGCTCCAGGTGAAAAACCCAAGTATTCTGATTTTGTCATAAAGTAATTAGCCTCCAACTAAAAAAAAAAAAAAAGTTGCAAAAAAAAAAAAGGAAATGCTAAGCTAGAAAGTCCAGATATCCTGGATTCCATCCACAGATCTTTCACTGCAACAGATTTAGTGCTGAGAGTCAAGCTGCAAGCATCACTATGCTAGTACCAGCTGTTAAGATACTTGAGCATTCTGATCCTAGTTCAGTTCAGTTCAGTCACTCAGTCATGTCTGACTCCTTGCGACTCCATGAATCGCAGCACACCAGGCCTCCCTGTCCATCACCAACTGCCAGAGTCTATCCAAACCCATGTCCATTGAGTTGGTGATGCCATCCAACCATCTCATCCTCTGTCATCCCCTTCTCCTCCTGCCTACAATCTTTCCCAGCATCAGGGTCTTTTCCAATGAGTCAGTTCTTCGCATTAGGTGGCCAAAGTACTGGAGTTTCAGCTTCAACCTCAGTCCTTCCAATGAACACCCAGGACTGATCTCCTTTAGGATGGACTGGTTGGATCTCCTTGCAGTCCAAGGGACTCTCAAGAGTCTTCTCCAACACCACAGTTCAAAAGCATCAATTCTTCAGCGCTCAGCTTTCTTTACAGTCCAACTCTCACATCCATACATGACTACTGAAAAAACCATAGCCTTGACTAGATGGACCTTTGTGGACAAAGTAATGTCTGATTCTGGTTAGTAAATAATATATGTAAAAGCAGTAAAATTAATAATTTAAATTCTAATACTGTGACTCCAAAGTTTTTCTTAGAAATAAAATGCAGAGTTTTTGTTTCTTGGAAATGAAATACAGAACTAGGGAGCCTATGGAAGACATTGTAACACACACAGCTGAGATAAAGAAGTCCTATTCTGTAAACCTACAAAGGAAACACCCAATTGTACCCAAGAGAAGAGCAAACTCCAGGTTAAGGAGTAGCTGGGGAGCTTAACAGGAGGCATGGGCCTAAATAGACGTGAACGCAGGATACATCTATCCTGGTGACGGAATGACTCTTCAATGAGACCGGGGACTCTGGGGTTCCCAATAAATAAACAAATAAATACCTACTTTATTTGACAATTTATGGACAGGTTGAGGTGGCCACTGTGTGCAACTGTGAAGAAATTCTGTGATGGTCATCTGCTTGGGATCCCATTTAATAGTCAGAAGAACACGCACCCCAGCTAATGCCAGCATGAGGTGCCTCTGACCTTCTCATCCCTCCCCACCCACCCCCTCCACAGCCAGCCTCAGGTCAGAGGAGCACAGCCAGCGCACCCTACTCCCCCAGCCAGCCGTTTACTGCCGCACAAGCTGGAGCAGACGAAGCTTCAGAGACAGCACCACTGTCACTCCCAACCTGACCTTGTTTTCTTCTCCCCTCTGCTTTTGTCTGCAGGTAACTGAACTCCAACCAGTTGCTGCCTCACTGGCTTAGACCAACTGGGTCCTGATGAGCCCGAGTGGGGGTCCCCGTTTCTCATGCATCCTTGGTGGAGTGAGACAAAGACACAGACTCCAGGCTATAGCAACTATTATGATAGGATCAGTGAAACCCCAGCCATCTCCAGCTCTCATCCTGACCAACAGTTATGGAAAGAGAGGATGGCAAGGGAAGGGCGGAGACTAAGAGTGAAAGGAAAAGTTAAAAGCAGAGATGGGAACTTCCCTGGTGGTCCAGTGGTTAAGGATCTGCCTGCAAATGCAGGGGACAGGGGCCACATCCCTGATCTGGGAAGATCCCACATGCTGACGAGCGACTAAGCCCATGAGCCACAACTACTGACGTCTGCACACCTTGAGGCTGTGCTCTGCAAGAGAACCCATCAAGGCGCGTGCACCGCAACTGGAGAGGAGCCCCCACTGGCTGTAAATAAAGAAAGCCCACACAGCAGTGAGGACCCGGCACAGCCAGAAAGAGATAAACCAAAATGTTTTAAAAAAGATGAGCGCCTCGTTAGAAAATAAAACAAAAGCAGAGGTGGAAAATTATTAGAGTAATTTATAGTCTAACTCATATTACTTAGTAAGAGTAAACTCTTAGGGTATTTAAAGAATAAAATAGAATATAGTTTCAAATTTTCATTTATATATTAATTTATAAGTAGCCTACTGGTTGTTGGATATATTGGTTATTACTCCAGCATAGATTCCTACAGTTTCAAGCTGAAAAGGATCTTGGGTATCTCTAGTGCAATGCTATGGAAATAAAGAGGAAAATGAAACATAGAAGAAAGGCTAAATTAACAAACATTATATAGCTGGTGATTGCTAGAGCTGAGACTAGATTTCAAGCTTTCTTACTTCTAATTCTGTGGTCTTAGAAACACAGATACCTTTTAAAAGCCTATATCCCAAAATTGCTTTTATTTCTTTGTCTTTGAACATTACATGGAATTTCTTTTCCACAACCATGTTCTTAACATTATGTCTGAGTTGAACTAACATTAAAATTAGTTGAGCCAGATTTCTCCAATGGTCCAGTGGTTAAAACTCTGTACTTCCAATGCAGGGGGCACAGGTTTGATCCCTAGCAGGGGAACTAAGAACCCACAATGCAGCACAGTGCAGCCAAATTAAAAAAAATTTTTTTTTAATTAGTAAGCACTTCATAAACTCAGGTTTGCTAAGGAGGTGCTAGGGGGTTGCAGTCTTGTGCCTTGGGGATAGCAGCAGGTAGTGGGAGAGAAAGAGCTATTTCCCTGAGATTAGAAAGACCTGTAGATAATCTATATATAATTGACAATTTAATGTGCTCATTTGTATTAACACTGATAATATTGAGAAATTAAGGAAAATTCAGCTTACACATCCTATCACATAAAAAAAGAGCAAAGTTTAATTAGAGGATTTACTTTAAAAAAAGTCAAAGAAAAACAGCACCTAAGCAATGAAGTGCTACAAATTTAGCAAGAATTTCTCCAAATTCTTGGAGAAGTCAATGGCACCCCACTCCAGTACTCTGGCCTGGAAAATCCCGTGGACGGAGGAGCCTGGTGGGCTGCAGTCCATGGGGTTGCTAAGAGTCGGACACGACTGAGCGACTTAACTTTCAGTTTTCACTTTCACGCACTGGGGAAGGAAATGGCGACCCACTGCAGTGTTCTTGCCTGGAGAATCCCAGGGATGGGGAGCCTGGTGGGCTGCCATCTGTGGGGTCACACAGAGTTGGACACAACTGAAGTGACTTAGCAGCAGCAGCAGCAGCAGCAGTAACTCAAATTCTGGCTCTATTACACATGGGAGAAAATATTTTTTATATTTACTCTATATTTTGTATGTTATACATTTTCCATATTTAGAAAAATATGATATTTCTAGAAAAAGAAAACTTTCAGAAGTTATCCATTTATTCTATCATTTGTTCATAAATATATGTGTGTGTATACCCATATACATATCACTTACCTGTTTTAAAGCCAAGTTGCCAATTATTAGGTTCCACTTTTCAATGGGTGAATCCATCTTCCCAATGTTTACCTGTTAAAATGAACATTTTCATGTATCACTGAATAAGCTATATGTCCTCTATTCTGCTAAAACAGCATATTAAGTATTAAAGCCAAAAACAACCCTTTAGTATATCTGATGAGCTTATACTGCACATTAACTATAATTCTAAATTCACTACAAGTCTTGCATCTCACATTCAGCTTGCCTGAGATATTTAGAAAAAAAATTTTTTAACTTAATTACTAGCTCAAAAGAACCAGTGGACTAGTTAGTACTGTCCACCTGTCCTCCATTATCTTACAACTAACATCAAGTGTCATCCTAATATGTTAAATTTTGTCTACTGAGGCCCAACATAAATAGTTACACAATTTTGAGATGCTAGCATTTAATTCGACATCATGAAACTTATGCATTGACCAAAAAACCAGATGTAAATAAATAATTCATATTACATAATTTATATTTGAGTCATAATTGAGTCAAAATTATCAATAAAAAATTCATGCTGTTCACATATGAATGTTGATAATGTATCTCTATTAAAATGTATATATCTGTTGACTAAATGGAAGAATATTCTCCAAAAATTAATATTTTATTCACACATTCAATTGCTCTGTAAACTAAATCATACTTTTCAACAACTTAGGATTCAAAAAACATATATCCAAATCTGACAGTTTCTCTAATGCAGTCATTTGGAAAGCAATAAGCAATCATTATTAAAAATTCACTGAGCCAAGTTTCAATTATTTATCATATGGTTGGTTATTGAAGACAGATGAAAGGGTAAAGTAGCAGATACATAAGGGTAATTATTTATGGGTAGTTAACCATGGACAAACTACAGTTTAGCTCACTGGTTTCAAACCAACAGGTTAAGTGCCACATCAACATTTCCTGTTTCAATCTGGAAAACAGATTCTGTTCTCTAACTTCACTCTTGACTGTTGTCTCAAAGTATCAAGCAAATGCACATATTAAGATTTCTCAGTGTTTCACAATAATTATTCTTGCTCTCTTTACTTGTATTATTTCCTTCCTAAGCCCAGAAGTCTAAATTATTCATAAAACTTGTGTTTGTAACTCTGGGTCTCTGCTCTAGTGAATAAAGTCCAAGCCATGTTTAAACAGTGGACCTATCTCAGGTTTAGTGTTCAAGAAACAGGTATAAAGAAATTTGTGTTATTTGTAATAAGTTTTAGAAAGATGTCTACAGGTATAGGATACAATCTAAAATGATTCCATGAAAAAGTACAAGATGTCAAGACTTCAGAACCCCTTGATGATCAATGGAGACACATTCATGACAGTCTAGGAAAACAAAACAAGTAAACAAATAAGAAAAACTGGTTTGAGAAGCTTCATTTGTATTCTTTGCTTCCCCTCCATGGGTCTTACAGATGCTAACAAGAGTATTAGAATAATCAACGTTAACAAAAAATTTGTAAGGAAAGTCTAGCTATAAATTTTAAAAGGAGTTAAGAAAGTTATGACCAACCTAGACAGCTTATTAAAAAGCAGAGACATTACTTTGCCATCAAAGGTTCGTCTAGTCAAGGCTATGGTCTTTCCAGTGGTCATGTATGGATGTGAGAGTTGGACTGTGAAGAAAGCTGAGCGCCGAAAAATTGATGCTTTTGAACTGTGGTGTTGGAGAAGACTCTTGAGAGTCCCTTGGACTGCAAGGAGATCCAACCAGTCCATCCTCAGGGAAATCAGTCATGAGTGTTCATTGGAAGGACTGATGTTGAAGCTGAAACTCCAATACTTCGGCCACCTGATGTGAAGAGTTGACTCATTGGAAAAAACCCTGATACTGGGAGGGATTGGAGGCAGGAGGAGAAGGGGACAACAGAGGATGAGATGGTTGGGTGGCATCACTGACTCGATGGGCATGAGTTTGGATAAACTCTGGGAGTTGGTGATGGACAGGGAGGCCTAGCGTGCTGCGATTCATGGAGTCGCAAAGAGTCGGACACGACTGAGCGACCGAACTGAACTGAGGAAATATTTAGATGGTTATTTAAAATGGGAGAAATAAAAAATAAATAAATAAAATAAAATGGGAGAAATAAAATGGACATTTATGTGATGAAAACAAGATTTGATATTACTACACTGTGCTGTGCTGTGCTGTGCTGTGCTGTGCTGTGTATCAGTCTATCTGACTCTTGGTGACCCTATGGACTGTAGCCCACCAGGCTCCTCTGTCCACGGAACTTTTCAGGCAAGAATACTGGAGTGGGTAGCCATGCTCTGCCCAGGGGATCTTCCCAACCCAGGGATCGAACCCACATCTTCCTGCATCTCCTGCATTGCAGGTAGATTCTATACTGCTGAGCCACTGGGGAACCCTCTTACTATACTACCCTAAGGTTAAATGGGCCAAAAGGGACCCCTCCCACTAGCCCCTAATATTAAAAGCCAAACAAGTCTTTTCTACTTACCCTAGTTTTAAAATATATATATTTAAGGGGCTAGAAATATTTACCCTGAGATATATGACTAGCAATTATTTGGGGCAACAGTTAGGCCAAAGAGTATGACCTCCTCGGCTTAACCCCACTCTGGGGATTCCAGAACTCTTAAGTAGGTAAAATGGACAGGAAACGAAACAAAGACTTCTAAACTCTTCCTCTAAGATCAAAGATTGTTAACGGCATCCCAGTGAAAACTAAAGTTAAAGGTGGGCTTCCCAGGTGGCGACAGTGGTAAAGAATCCACCTGAAAACACGGGGGATGTACGAGACACAAGTTCGATCCTCGGGCTGGGAAGATCCTCTGGAGTAGGAAATGGCACCCCACTCCAGTATTCCTCCATAGACAGAGGGGCCTGGTGGGCGACAGCCCACGTAGCTGCATAGACATGACTGAGCAACTGCACACAGGAGAAGATCAGGAGGTGAGAGCTCTCACCCAGGTCAGAATGGCCATCACTAAAAATAACAAATAACAATGCTGGAGAGGGTGTGGAGAAAAGAGAGCCTGCTTACACTGCTGGTGAGAATGTATACTGGTACAGTCACTATGGAGAATAGTATGGAGGGACCTCAAAAAACTAAATATAATTACCATATGATCTAGCAATCCCATTCCTGAGCATATATCCAGGCAAAATTATAATTTGAAAAGACACATGCACCATTATGTTTATAGCAGCACTATCCACAATAGCCAAGACAGGGAAACAACCTAAATACATGTCTATTGACAGATGAATGGATAAAGAAGATCTAACGGAACACTACTCAGCCATGAAAAAGGATAAACTAATGCCATCTGCAGCAACATGGATGCAACTAGAGATGATCATACTAAGTGAAGTCAGTCAGACAGAGAAAGATAAATACTATAATATCCCTCATATGTTGAATCTAAAATACAATACAAATGAACATATCTACGAAACAGAGACTCATAGACCAGGAGAACAGACTTGCGGGTGCTGAGGGGAAAGGAGTACGGGGTGGGGGGTGGATTTGGAGTTTGGAACTAACAGTTACAAACTATTACATATAGAATGGATAAACAACAAGAGAACTATATTCAATATCCTATAATAAACCATAATGGAAAAGAATATGAATAAACAATGAGAAAAATTATGATTCTATTTATATGAAGTTCTAAAAATAACTGAAAGACCAGAGATTACTTGAGGTCAGAGGGATTACCTGGCAGCTGAAATTAATAGCAAAAGCACATCAGGGTGAGAAAAATGTTCTGTACATTGTTGATGGTGGTAGATACACATTTAATATATTAGTCAAAACTCATTAAATCATACAGTTAATATGTATGTATATTATTAAATGTAAACTATACTTCAATAAATTTAGCTTTTATAAAGATAATTTCATACAACAGCAACAGCTTTTATGTTCTTCAATAATATTTCTATTCCCGCTACCTGGTTTGGTTAAGTATTAAAATTTTTACCATATGTAGTACACTAATATATCATATGTACATTTAACAAAAAGATCTTAATGACTCAGAGAACCACAATGGTGTGATCACTCACCTAGAGCCAGACATCCTGGAATGTGAAGTCAAGTGGGCGTTAGGAAGCATCACTACAAACAAAGCTAGTGGAGGTGATGGAATTCCAGCTGAGTTATTTCAAATCCTAAAAGATGATGCTCTGAAAGTGCTGCGCTCAATATTTCAGCAAATTTGGAAAACTCAGCAGTGGCCACAGGACTGGAAAAGGTCAGTTTTCATTTCAATCCCAAAGAAAGGCAGTGCCAAAGAATGTTCAAACCACACAACTGCACTCATTTCACATGCCAGCAAAGTAATGCTCAAAATTCTCCAAGCTAGGCTTCAACAGTAGGTGAACCAAGAACTTCCAGATATTGAAGCTGGATTTAGAAAAGGCACAGGAACAAGAGCTCAAACTGCCAACATCTGTTGGATCATAGAAAAAGCAAAAGAATTCCAGAAAAACATCCACTTCTGCCTCACTGACTACACTGAAGCCTTTGACTGTGTGGAGCACAAACTGTGGAAAACTGAGGAAAATTATTAAAGAGATGGGAATACCAGACCATCTCACCTGCCTCCCGAGAAATCTGTATGCAGGTCAAGAAGGAACAATTAGAAATTGACATGAAACAATGGACTGCTTCCAAACTGGGAAAGGCATACATCAAGGCTGTATATTGTCACCCTGTTTATTTAACTTATATGCAGAGTACATCATGTAGACTGTCAGGCTGGATGAAGCACAAGCTGGAACCAAGGTTCCAGGGTTGCTGGGAGAAATATCAATAACCTCAGATATGCAGAAGACACCATCCTAATGGCAGAAAGCAAAGAGGAACTAAAGAGACTCTTGATGAAGGTGAAAGAGGAGAGTGAAAAAGCTGGTTTAAAACTCAACATTCCAAGAAAGGAAGATCATGGCATCTGGTCCCATCATTCCATGGCAAATAGATGGGAAAACAATGAAAACAGTGACAGATTTTATTTTCTGGGGCTCCAAAATCACTGCAGATGGTGACTGCACCCATGAAATT